TCCAATCCAATCCAATCCAATCCAATCCAATCCAATCCAATCCAATCCAATCCAAAGCAATTCGATCTGATCCAACCCAATGTAGCCGCAAACAGCTCGAGAATATACACACATATGCAATAAATATATCTCCTCTTATGCAGCCACATAAGTACTTAAGTAAATTCATATGGAGTTTCCAGCTGCACTTTTCCGGCTTTAAGTTCATTCATAATTTGCACGCTACAAATGTTGGCCAACAGTTTTTAGCCCAATTTTTTTCCTTTTGGCAAGAACTTTTTTCTCTAATTTGCTTTTTACTCTTTTACGTTTTTTGCGCTATTTTCGTTTTTGTTTTATCTTTTCTTTGTTTTTGCCTGCGGTTATCAACGATTTTGAGCGGTTTCATTAAATCGGCTTAGACACTTTTGCTTATGCCAACTGAGCACAGCTGCCCGCCAAGCATGTGCCAATCGCATATTCTCATGCAACGACACACACACACACACACACACTGATATATATGAGAGTTAATGAAAGTATTTGCAGATCCATCCTTTTACATTTCTTTTTATCGTATTTTTTTGTGCTCTACGCTTTTTGTTTAGCTCAGCGAATATTCATAATTTTTGCTTGCCACGCGTGCCTCGCTGTAAAGCCGCACACAATTTGCATATTTCATTTTAAAAACACGAAAACCGAAAAAAGAAAATACGAAAGTATCATTGCTGGGCATTTTATGGTTGGAGTAAACGACAAATTAATTATAATGCGACCGCAGATTTGCCACTCATTTCACATATGAATTTGCAATTGCCACACAGTCAACTCACATTTGGCAGCCCGGCCAAACCAAGTCCAAAAACAACCAACAACACTCAAACAAACAACGACGATGCAATGGGCAACACGTTAATGAATATGAATATGTGTATGGGCGGGATATGGAATATGGGGATACCGCAGCAGCCGCACCATTTCTATGCCACACTGCATGGTGGTCCAAAAGTAATTTAATTTGTACTAAAAGTCAGCAAGCGGATGGTGCGGGTTGGATAGACTGTGTAGCCACATACGCATACATACAAAAACTCATTTCATGGGTCAAAAAGCACAGTCTTCCAGTTTTTGTGCAACTGACTTTTTCAGCGCTTAACACAACTAGCTCTACAACTGCTGGTTAGCAAGATGCGAGGGTGCGCCACAGAGTCCAAATCACGGCATACAACTATACATGATACACAGCGCTTTGTTCTTACCTTCCACCGAGTCAAATGTAGTTAGTTAGAGCGGACAGGTGTGCGTCCGCTGTCATACCTGCCCACCCACCCCAAGCTCCGGCGCTCAAATCCTATTAGTTGCGATTGTAACTCGATTTCGGTCACTCAGTTGGAATTTTCTTCTGTGCTGATGGTCTTCTTCGACCATTTTTAGTTTGCGACTTTATTGGTAAGCACATTTATTTGGCAAATTAATACTCAAAAAGGTAAATCAAAGCCGATTTGAAACAATAAGCGCAATGAGCAACAGTCGCAAGAAATTCCCCAGTAATATTTAAGTGGCTGTTTGTTGTGTGAGATAAGGTGGTTTGAAGGAAAGGGGTGGTTTTCTTGAGGGAAAGTGTTTAGCTAGGAAAAGTGCTTGGGAGTAATGTTTGTAAGTTTAGCTTGAAAAGGGTGAAAAAGCTTGTTTTTAAATAAATATTTTTTAATTTTTGCAACTTTAAATGTCTGAACAAGTTTCTTCATTATATTTATATTCTATAGCGAGTGGTGACAAATCACTTTAAAATTAAGAAGGCTTGAAAAATGTTTATTGAACTTTATGCCACACAATTTATGCAATTAGAAAACATATGAGGTGACTACAGCGGTTTTTTAGAAAAACCGAAATATTGATAGCATTATGCCTTGAGAAAAAATATCATCATTACAATTTTTTCTCTAAAGAGTCTTTACTCCTTTTTTCAGAAAATTGCATTGTATTGCATTGATATATTACTTGGAGAGACTTTTATATAAGAGCACAACTCCAGCAGTTTTATATTATTTTTACAAACTACCAAGCTCACTCAAATATCAATAAGACTTTACTATAATACAAAATATAAATAACTGTTTTTCTTTTAAAGCTCAAGCTATTTAAGGTTAGAGGAATAATGAATAGTCAATGCTTTTGGTGGTAATGCTTAAACTACTGAAATTTGTTTTTAGTTCTTATTGCTGTTGTTAAATCCCGTTGACAACCAGCTTTCCAATAATATTCAAGACATATGTAAGTAATATCTCTCAGTTAAGAAACCTATAGAGAAGTACAGATCCATTTCGCTGTATGAACGAAATAACAGCTGTTCCTCAACAAAAAGTTTTGGTTGACATTGCAGTGAAAGTATATACGCGAAAAAGTGCCTCAGTTTTTGGGATATCGATCTGATGTTTTGCACATATCCTTTTCTTCTTGAAGTGCTGCGTATTTGTCGGAAGCATCGATGCCAGACCACTATAGCTAATAGCTGTCATACACACTGAACAATCGGAATCAAATGCTTGTATGGTCAACTTTTTTATTTGAAAAGATATCTTCACGAAATTTGGTATGTATTATTTCCCGAGGATAAAATACAATTTTCGAATATATTTTTTAGATCGGAGCACTATAGCATATAGCTGCCATACAAACTGACTGATTAAAATCAAGATAAAGATCTTTTTATACTCTTTGATGCTATAAAAAGTGCGTAATCTGTTGCCTTTATTTGAAAGTAAGTGAGTCATATTAATAGTGCTCTCTATAGATAAGAAAAACGTGATTGCCTAATTTATTCCACTACTTAAACTACTTTATAATAAGCTCTATTAATTCAATGAATAATATGCTATTTATCTAAATTTATGCTTCGCATGCAGCAGCAATGCCATAAACAACGCAAATAAGGGCAATGAAATCTATAAATTCAAATCAAGTAAACACGACTTAAAAATAAAATTTCTGAAAATTAATAAAAAAAAATAAATCTGCACATATTAAATATCGGTCTGTAACAAACTACTCATTTCAAGCTTGAAAAGCTTTTGACTAAAGCGACTACCAGAAGCACAGTTTATTTAAGAAAAGCCGCAACGAATATTGATCAATGAGTCGCCGTTCAAGCATGAAAATAAGCTTTTTGCAATGCAAATATTAGCCACAGATCACGCCAACAAGATCACGATTTAGCTATGGTGAGCGGCAATGCCAGCATTGCGCTAAGAGGCAGCGCAGCGCGAATCAACTGCATTGCTGCAAACCGGCAACAGCTTCGGTAAGCACCTGCATGCACCTACGATGTGCTGTTGCAACGCAAACTTGTTGCGAGTGTCGAAATGCGCGCCAAAAACCACATTGCCTGATCTAATAACTCACAAAGTGGTCAGCAGTCGGTTAGTTGGTCGCGCATGCGCACTACACAACCAAGCGCTGCTCATTAATGCAACCGCTCAAGCGACGCTCAATTGTGCCGCCCGCTTATGTTTGAGCGTGCAAGCGAGCTTTTGCATTTTGGCGCGCATTTCAGCTGATATTTACCGCTAATGAAGCTGCGACCACAATTTTAATTTTCTTTCTGCACTTTTGCTTCACTTGCTGTATGATTAGTGATCGCAAAGATACTTGTTGCTTGCATATAAAGCTTGTTTGTGTTTGCTACGTTTATTTTGACATTTATCTACTTGTTATTGTTGCTTGCAGTTGTTGTTGTCATTGCAACTGTGCAAATTTCGATTGCGAAATCTTCTTCGTCGAGTTGTCCAAACTTCGGTGATCGCGTCAACGGTCTTTGTATCGAGTTTGCAATCGACTACTTCAGCAGCCAATAACAAAAACAACAGTTGGAAAAACTTTTGCACTGGCATAAATGGCCAGCAACAAAGCAATAGTTCCATAAAAATTTTCCAAAACTTTGCTGCATAAACTAAGCAAAGGTGGTAGTTGGTGTTTGCTGGACAGCTATTGGTGTTGCACAGCCATCAGTCGGTGTTTGTATGCGCCGCGCAACGGTTTTGGTGTGTTCTAACGGTGATCAAGTGGAAAAAATATGTGAAAAAAATATTATTTTATTAAAATTTATTATTAATGAGCAATAAAAAATTGTTTTGTGAAAACTAAAATAAATATGCAACTACTTCGTACACTTTTTTTAGCGTGTTAATTACTTCGCTTTCAAAAAAATATCGTTTAATCGGTTATGAACAACTCCAAAATGAAGCAAATTTTGTACTACTGTTTTCTTATATTGTGCTATATTTATACCGTTAACGGCGAAGATGAAAAATTTCTCACAGATCCGCGTAAGTGTCTTTACATGAAAAAGTGAAAAAAAAACAACTAAAATCTTCTAAGCTGAATGGTTTTAAAATAAAAGTAAAAAAAGTTGAAATACACAAAAAAAAAATCTTAAAAAATATATAAAGCATGCTTGTGAGAGTAAAAGTAATGCTTGCATTCTTAGCTTGTGAATTTGATTCTTCGAGTCATCTCAAAACGCTTCACCATTCTGAATATTTTCACGAAAAATTTTCAAGCGGGACTAGCTAACAAAAGTTTCCAAAAGTCAAATTTGGATTTTTTATAGAACTCATCTTAGACCGTTCCGCCTTTAGTATGTCATATATATATATATATATATTTTTTTTTCGAGCTGTCCGTTGGACAAGGCTCTTAAAACATGATAAGCTATCATATTTTAACACGATACTTAAAAAAAAAAATTATGCGGTTTTTTTGCGCTACCCCAGTATATATATATATATATATTTTTTTTAAGTCTCGTGTTAAAATATGATAGTTTATCATGTTTTAAGAGCCTTGTCCCACGAACAGCTCAAAAAAAAAATTTTAAGAGGTCGCTCAGAATTTTTTAATATTTCAAAATCACCAAAAACTCGTTTCGTTCTCGTTACAGTATAATTTTATAGACCAACAAATAATAAGTTCCTGAAAATTTCAGCTCAAAATTCAATAAATGAAAAAAATATATGAAATATTAATATGAATATTAAAATGTCGCTCGAAAAAATCGAAAGTAATGCACTGATAAAATGAATAAAATTACGAGCGAACTTTTAAATTTCGAATAGTAGTAACACATCCCAACTGCTGTCCCCCTCCAAAAAGCAAGAACCATTCTCTACTAACGTGGTAAACCTAACACCTTACTCCGATAAGATTGGAAAGATATCAGAAATTTTGTAAAAAAAATGTATGGCTGCTGATCTGGGGATGACATTTTCGAAGTTTTCCGTTATAATACTTAGCTGGGGTACCTAAATTTCAAGCTATAAAAATATTATAGTTAAATTAGAAAAAAAATGGTAATTTTTTAAACAAAGGCAGCGAATTCCTAAGTAAATTATCAAAGCACTATAGAATTAAAATTTCCCTACCAAACCTAAAAAAATGTTTCTTTCAAAAAAATTTTTAAAAAACTATTACTATTATATAATGTTTTTGTGCATTTAATTATCCTTATGTAAGTGTTTGGTTCACAAAATAAAAAAGTTCTTCTAATCTTCCACAGCTGATTATATCCGAGAATGTCAGATAGCTGACAAAAATTTTTTAAACTGTTCTACGCAAAGCATACAACAACTATTCGATAAATTAAATGACGGTAAGTAACTAAACGAGAGTGGAAATTTACCAGTGTTGCATGCCACATGCAGTATGCAGCACTTATTTGTAATTATATTTTGATTTATATGGTTAACGCCGCTTTGCAGGCATACCCGGCTTGAATAGTATCAAAAGCTTCGATCCATTCTATTTGAACCGGATACGCATTACGCAAGGCAACAGCAATGCGATCAATCTAAAAGTGGAATTGGGCAATATAAAAATCAATGGCTTTGGACATACAAATGTGTTGGAGAGTATGTAAGTGAACACGGAGTTGTTTTTCTAATTATTGATTGATTAATTTTGAAGTAATCTTTTAAATGCATTTAATTTAATTTTAATTACATATAATTTTTTTAATAATTTCATTTAATTACTTACCTTTTTAATTTTAATAAATTATGTTACTTTGGTAAGATAGTCAATTATTATTATTAAGTAAAAATTAATTACATATCTTAATTATATAAAATTTATTTTAATTAATTCAAACAAATTTAAAATAAAATTTAAATAAAATAATATGTATTTAAAAAATAAAAATGTATTTTAATTAATTATGATAATTAAATAAGAATAATTTTATATAATTTTTTTAATTATGATAAGTAAAATTAATTTTAAATAGTTACTTTAGTTAAATATACATAAATATATTTGTAAGGTTAATTAGGCAAAATTTCCTTTACTAATGTTAATTAAACAAGATTAATTTTAGTCAATTATATTATTTAAGTAAAATTAATTTTAAATGTATTTAAATTATGAAAATTAAGTAAGCTTAATTTGAATTAATTATGGTTATTAAGTAAAATTAAATGAATTAATGATAAGGAAATTGCTAATATTAAGGGATATTTTTATTAAAAAATTCTAATGTTGAGAAATAAAAGTGGAATCAAATAAATAGTTATAGAAGATTTACTAAATAAACTTAATTCTAGTTAATTTTATCTCTAGTTAATTTTTTTAATTGTATGCATATAATAATAATAAAATGTTTTTGCTTTTAATAAGGGTTTACCCCAAAGACTACAGCTGGAAGACTACTTTTATGCTGCCTGAAATGAAATTACAGGGCGACTACAGTCTCTTCGGGCGGATTTTATTAATACCCTTAAATGGACATGGCGAAGTGTTCTTAGAAGCGGGTGAGCTTTTCAATACATCTCGCTTAGCAAATTATATAATCAACCAAATATTTTATTTAAACAAAGAACTTAGTTTCCGTGGCTTCAAATTTGTTTGATAAATGATAGATTTTAGATACATGCATTTTTCACCGTTATTTTCTCTCTGAAGCACGGAGACAAGTTTTATTTTTTTTATAAAGACTGAAAGTAACGGTATTTTGAATAAAAAATAACGGTATTTTGTATTTCCGAAGTGTTTTTCTCATTTCTGTTAAAACAACAAAACTTTTATTAAATTGTTAATGTAATTACGCATATTTGAATACTACAAATTTATTTGAATATTTATTTCTAAGAAAATATGACCGTCATTATGAACTCGAAGACTCGTCTTTACGAAAAAGGTGGCTTCACTTTCTATAACGTCACCGATTGCCGTGTAGACTTCAAAATAGACGGTTTGAAATCATATTTTTCAAATCTCTTCAACGGAAACAAGCAGTTGGGTGAGTTTATAAATATTAAAAAATATAAAATAATTTATTTTTCAAAATTTATTTTTAAAAAAATTAAAGACATTTTTTTTAAAGCCCAAAAAATTTTTTTAAAAAAAGTTTTTATATGCAAAAAGCTGGGAATTTTTATTTTGCTTTATTTTAAATAATTTTCTACAAATTTTTTATACATTTTAATGCTTTCCCCACAGAGGACAGCACCAATAAGTTCTTCAACGACAACTGGCGCATGCTGGCCGATGCGCTTTACAACGTTATCACGCAAACGATCGAAGATATTTTATTGGATGTTTTGAAGAAAATCTTTCACTATATACCAGCCAACTTCTTCATTAGCGATATACCAACATCGAAGCAGCTATATGGGGGTAAGGTGACGGCGAGCGAGCCAAAGCGACCGAAGTAACAACAAAAAGAGTAAAAAACATATATGTTCAAATAAATTAATGAAAAAATACTCATATATACATATACATATACACAAATAAAATATATGTAGATATATGCGGAAGATTTATATGTATATGGTATATTGTATTTACAAAAATATTAAATTTTACACAAAAAAAATATTGGTTTTACAAATAATTATTATTTTTTGAAAATTTCGATATGGTTTTTAGCTGAAATAAACTTTTTCTTATTTTATTATTATTATTATTTTATACTCGAAAGTATTTCGTTTATACACAGAAGTAAAATAAAATTTTATTAAACTAATTTGAAAACAAAAATTGTGTTTTAAGGCATTTATCAAAATTAAATAAACTTTTATTGTTAAAACATTTCATGAATTTTTATTTAAAAAAAAAAAATGTAATATCAAAATTTGTATTGAATTCAATAAACTTTTATTCAATGCCCACAGTGCGCATATTAATGTATAAAATAATCTATCAACGCCTAAAAGCATGCTAAGTAGCTCATCATCATCTATATCTACTTATCTACCGCGTTACAGTGCTGTGCAATAAAATTCAATTATTGTAAATTATTCACCGCACACACCAGATATTTTTTAACATCTAAATTGTGTCGCATTGTCAGTCTATGCAACATGCTCGTATTGTTATAATCCGCTTTGTAGAGCAATTTACAGATTCGGTCACTTTGCCACACACACAATTAATTTGTATTTATCTCGCACATTTAACAATGTGATAATAATAAATTTTTACAACCAACTCGTTATAATAAAAATAAAATGCCTGTAACATACGGATAATAACAACAACAACCACGCAACAACAAATTGCTAGGTGTAAAGTGTTATACAAATTGTTGATGGTTGCAGAGTAAAAGCAAGAAATACGAAAATACGCCAGCAACACCTTTAACCCACACACGCACTCACACACACTGCATACTTGCTGCTTACCCGCAATTAACAACAACAGCAATGTTCTGCTACGAAAAATGATGTCAGTAGTGGTTAGCAGCAGCGATAAACAAATAAAAATAATTGCATTTAACCCTTTTGTGACCCGATTCACCTGTGTATCCATGCTTGTTGCTGTTGTTTTTGTTTTACAGCGCATTTAAATGTCTGGATTACCTGTCTATCGTTGCCATCCACAACTATTACAACAATTACTTGCGCCAGCGGCAACAACTATATGTACCATATATGCGTGTTTACTTGTGCCTGTGTGTGTGCGTGTGCAAGACACGAGCGTATGATAGTGGAGCGATTAAACAGGCTGTCAATGATGCAAAAACCACATGCCACAAAAAATGTTCTCCACTCCAGGTTTTACTGTTTACAACGTGGTTTTCTCGCTGTCTATATTCTTGTATATATGTATGTGTGTGTGTGTGAGTGTCTCATAAAAATGGAAGCAGTTATGTTATCAAGGCATTCATTGAAAGGGTGGGGAAATGTTTCGACAGGAATAATTTAGTTCGTTATACAGTCAGAATACTCCTCTTACTTATCTTTTCTGTACCGACAGAGTATTTAGTTGAAATCTGTCGCCCTTACTGAGAGAATGTATAAGCTTCTAGTTACACTAATTCAACTGAGTCATTTCGAATTCAACTCTAACTTCCTCCAGGTATGAACTTTGTAATTGTTGACCGCTAAATACATATGGCCTTTGTCTCGTATATTGACGTGATCTTACCACTAATATAAGCCGAATAGAATTTCTTAATGAAAATCGAGCACATTTGGCGCTTTCAGTCTATGAATACAAGTAGTTTTGAACGCCAGACTCTCTTGTACTTACCTAGATAACAAGGATGTTTCCTTTCACAATCAGTGAGATAATGGAAAAAGCCCAACGAAGGTTACACCTATGGGCCGTAAACAATGGACTAGATGTTAACCTTAGCTGACCATTCCATATACGTCTTTATTTGGAAAGTAGCAGCAAGTTCTGTTACGCAAAAAAGGAACTAGGAGGTTGGAATGGGAAATATTATGGACATAACCATCCTTAATCAGCTATACTTACATAAAGCCACTTCCCGGTGATAATACCCTCTACAAGTGAATGGAGAAGAGCTTTAGTAGAGGGAGATGATATCTTTCTACACCGACAGGTCCAAAATGGACTGCGAAATCTCTTTCCCTATCAAATTACCAAAGTCAGCCAACAACTTCTAAGCAGAAATACTAGGTAAGCAAAAGGCTTGTGGTGGATAAAGAAAGCAACCATATACACGGATGAACAAGCAGCATTGCTGGCCTTGCAGACGCCACTTAATAACTTCAGCGTAGTTAACAATTGCAGAAAGGCTTTATGCTCAGTGGCAGGTCTACTCCACATGTCCATAATTTCAGTTCGCAATCACAGGAACATTTTCGGCAACGAAAAAGCAGACGAGTAGGCCAAACTAGAAGTTTCTTTGAACAAAAAGCTCAAAAAACAGCTCGGCAAAAAATCTATATTTGGTAGAAATAAAGCATACATTTTGGAGCGCAGAGGAGACGGTCATGAAAATCATGGTAGTAAACTTAACAAATTGTAATATTCGAAGTTGGTAGAAGAATTTAAGGGTCATAGCCGATGAAATAATATACGCTGAAGACGCTCAGTACGGTAGTAAAATTCTCATTAGATACTCTAACGAGTCTCGAAACTCTGCTATTTGGAGTCACTTTCAGAGTTTCAACGCTAAATTCAGATGAAAATAAATTCAAATGCTAAATTGCAGGCATAAAATAAAATTTAAAAGCAATATGCAGTAAACAACAATAAAATATGTGCAACAACAGCAACAATACTAAACGCTAACTATAATGGGCAGTGGCAAGCATTCATTAATAATGGCAACACATTTTAATTTGCCAATTATCCTGTTTGTCATAGATTTTCATGTCCAATGCAACAAACGAGACTGCGAGTAACTATATAACAGTGTAGAATATATACACATATACTCATATATACATAACTGTGTGGATGTGTCTGTATTGGCGTGTCTGTGTGCGTGTCAGCTTGTTGCGGTTAAATGTAATTTCAAGTATTTTACCGTTAAACAATTTAGTTGTGTATGTGTGTGTTTATATATTTTTCTGCCTCGTTGCATACTTTTCGGGGTCTAACGTAATTTAACGCATTCGGCCAAACTCACGCTGAGCCACTCGCCGGTTATCCTCAAACAAAATACCAAACGATCAATTAAGGTTGATCCACCGCCGACCAAATGAAATGCTACAACAAAAACGAAACAACAACAACATTAGTGTATAAAACTGCAAGCGCAGCGCCGCGTTGCATGGCTAAAAGCCTAAAAGCCGGCTAACGGTCATTGCAGCAATTTGAACACATTACTCGCTGAAATGCCGGGCAAAGCACAAGCGTCAGCGGGTGGCGAGTTGGTGGGCGCTGCTGCATGGGTGGATCAACATGGAAAATCTTTTAGTGTTATTGCGCGGCGTTGCGGCGGTTTGATTGCGCGCTAAATTAATTGTATGCGTTGCGCGTTTTTCGGTTGTGTCGGCGGCTGTTTGTGGGTGGCGTGGGTGGTCGGGTGTGTAGCAGAGCGTTGCGTGGTCGTGTGGTGGGCGCGCTTTTAATCATTCATCTCTAGTGTGTGGTGTTCAACAACTAAATTTGCTTTTTGCCGGGATAAATTAGCGGTGGAAATTAAATTTATTGGTTGCTGCAACAGCAAATTGGTGTGTTTTACAGCACTTGACCACAGCGATGCGTTCATGTATAGCGGTGTGTTACCAACAGGGTATTAGTTGCTTGTTTTTTTTTATCCGATTAGTTAGATTACTCTGAGTTAGTGTTTGCTATGTGAGATGCTGCTTGCGAAATAACTTAATATCGCGTTTGATAGGCTTTGAATAGGAAAAGAATCGCAAGTATCGGTTGTGAGTTTTTGATGATGTCTCGGAGCGTGTTATAAAACTGTTTGTATTGATAAACTTCATCAGGAGCACAGGATGATTCAGGTAGTACATAATAGAGCAATCGGACTTTAGTCGCAGTGGTTGCACAATCGCTCTCCTAAAGCCTTGATCCGTCGTCGGACATTCACCGTACCTATCATGATAGGTATATACCTATTGAGTTGCAGTATACGTTTCATAAAATTAATGTTTTTCAAATATTCAACATGATTTCTGAGACCCTTCTCAGAACATGTTGACACGAAAATCAAGCAGGAAAGAATATATATATTCGTTAATGGTTGTTAGCTGTTCTACTTCTGCTGCCTTGTCTTTCACTTAAACTAGCTTTAAGCTATTAAGCTATGTGTCCTCTGCCACATATTCCAAACAAATATAGTAAACATCAAGCCTATTGCTGCGCACGAGGTACCTCGTAAAGTTTCCTGTAGTATGAAAAACTCTAGGAAACTAAACTACAATATTTTTTCAACTATTCTCTAAAAAAGTTGTTACATCGCAGGCCTTGCAACAACCTCAACTTTGAATGCTACCAAACATTTTAGTCAGCCACTTGCCACACGTGACCAGTCAACAATGTTGTCAAGCATAAAACGAAAATACACTGGTAAATATTCGACTTTTGCATGCCAAAAAACAACGGGAAGATTCTACTCTGCATATTTGCAATAGAACGCGCAGCAGTACATTGCTATGCAATACGGCGTAACGACAATATTTGCGTAGGAAGTCAGAAATAGTGGAAACTAAATTTTTCCTTTAGAAATGTTGCAAGACTTTTTGTTTTACGGTTAGCTTTCATGTAGTTGCTGTTAATTTTTTTATTCTCATACGTAGTTTTTGCTTAAAAAGCTTGCACTGATAAAAACTATACTAATAAAACAGCGAAGATTCCAAAGACACTGTATTGAGTGTCTTTCTATATGTTTTGTTTTAAAAATTGATCTGAATAAATTGATTTCCAATATCCTTTACCTACTTATTTCTGAAACGATAGATATATATAAGTAAATTTTCCAAATTGTTATTAGCAGCAGACTTTCTGCGGTCTAGTGATGCTTCGCGCTAGGTTAGGTTATGTTAGGTTAGGTTAGATAAAATGATCGATCCTAATAGTATGACTGCCAAGACATTTCAGCCTCAGTCTCTCAAAGGCTGCTCAGTTCATATGTCCAATGCAAGAGCGAAAGACGTCAACGCAGATCCGACTCATTCCCACTCTGTTGGGAGTGCAGTACGGGTTCCCCGTCTTGCTAGCGCATCGGATTTACAGTTTCCAGCGATTACACTATGACCAAGCGCCCAAACGAGCTTGATGATGAAGTAGCGTGTTACTATTTCTAGTGAGGACAGAGACGCCTTGACTAACTTTGAGCGTACAGTTTGCGAGCTCAGCGCTAGTATCGTCGCTCTGCTGTCGGAGTGAATGCTCATCTTCCTGAAGAAAGCTGCATTCCGGAGCAGTAATCTACATTAATAGCAGCCACTTCTGCTTGAAAAACATTACAGTAAACCCGTAGCCTAAAACTTTACTTGAGATAGAGCTGCTTACAGAAGACTCCCCCTCCAACCTTCCCTTCGCGCTAGCTCTAAAGAAAAACTATACGTAGCTTTCGCTATTATGACGTCAGCATAGCATTTTGCAGCGAATAATCGGCAATCTATCATAAATCTTATATATTTTAGTCAGTAAGTCATTGTGTGTGACTATTGTACTTACCGAGATATATATGCCATTATTTTTTAAAAGACCTTCCACTCTTTTTCCACAAAAATTTTTTATTCAGCTTAAAAAAATGTATTTATTCATTTCAACTTATGTTTTTATACTTTGTACATTTTTGTAAGAAGATATTAAGGGCTTAATACTATATTAATATATATATATATATATTTTCATATTTCAAAAATTGAATTTTGAGCTATAATAAAAAAAATACTTTTGCAAAGGCTAAGCAGCGGGAACTCAATGAATATGCAGATATATGAAATCTTTTACTATTTTAATCTCTCTGCAACACTGCTCTATTTTCCACTATGCTTTTAGCCTAAAGATATGTTTAGAGCGTTCTACTTCATACAGAACTCATCAGCAAGTAACCAACAATTTACAATTCATTTTTGTATTTGTAGTACTAAGGTAACTCAAGGTCTACGAACTACTAAGCTGTAGACCTTTTACAATTTATTTTTTAATTTTAAGTATTTCAAAAATATTTCTAAATATTTTTTATTACTTTTGCGGTGCTTATAGCATAAGCAGGATATTTTGAAAATGTACAGCAACTTTGTTACCATATATAATCTATAGACTATTCTCGGAAGAAACAGCATATTCCTACTCCCCTTTCTAAAGAGATAGTAGCGGTCAAGTTAACGGTAATTTAATAACAGAAAACCGATTAAGAAAATAAGTAACGCCGAAAAGAATACGCATTTATTTTTATTAACAAAAATATAATTTTCACTAGAATTTATATTATGTTCAATAAAAAACAAGGAAGCTTAGCTTGAACTAGGTCGTACGCCAGGCGTTACATGAAAATATACAATATTAAAGGACCTCTTGCATAAAATATTAATAAAGTATGAGGATATTTTTTCGAAAGGTATTTTCTTATTGTTACTAAACATAACTTTATGTATGAGAGCAATTCTGTTATGACCAGCTTTTGTATGTTTCGAGCTGACTACACGCTCGGCTTAGCGTGTGCCTAACACGCCAAATAGAATGATTAGCAACTTTTAGCGTATGAATCGTGTACGGCATATATTTTTTTAATAAATATTTTATTTTTTCTTTTGTTATGATTTTATAACATTGTGAAATATTTAATATTCAAGTAGAGATCAAACGAACCCAAAAGCTTTTAGCTCGACGCTTTACGAGTGTGAAGCGCTAAGTTTAAACAACTGCTTTTCGTTTTAATTCATGCAAAATATTTATTAAAACAAACGCGATTGTAGCATCAACGGTTGAAATTAGTAGTTAAGCTTAAAATATTTTATGTCACAAAAAACGTAGTTTTGCAAAATATAAAAACAACCTTACTGAGTTTTCAAAGACTTGAATGAATACCACTTCTACCGCAAACAATAGTAATCTGAGCGCTATACCCAAATTATGGGCTTTGTATCAGTGGATCTAAAGGATACCATTTTGGTGATTTCATAGATATTAAATAATAAAAGTTGTAGTTCTTGTGAAGTACGGTAGTATTGAATTTAGAAAAACTTTCGCGTTTCCCATATTTGGAATTACAAAATAAATAAAAATATTCTAACTCCGTATTTGGGACATTGGGTTTTACAAAAAAAAACTTTAGTTTGGGATTACAAAAAAAAAAATTTTAAACTGTTAGTTTAATAATTGTTTTAAAGCAATATTTGCAATCCTGGTTTCTACTAAATAAAAATAAGGTAAACGTAAAAGGTAATTATATTTTAATATCTCTGTTCGAATAAAGAGTATGTATCTATATAAGCTGCAGAGGTCGCAGGATCTGCACTTACACTGACAATAGTTTTCTATGACTTTTGAGAGTGAATTTGACATAGAATAAAAGATGTTGCTACGGGGGTTCTTCATAACTTTATCCTTAACATGGAACTCTACCTCAAATTTAAAGATGTTCACTGCAAAAAAAAGAAAACAAATTGATATAAGTATATGTAATAATATCATTATATAATAAACTTAAAATATATCTTTAAAAAGGGTGCAATTAATATTATATTTAATTAATATTAAAAATAATCGTTTTATCTAGTTTTTATAGAGATTATTCGAATTATAATTTTAAAATTTATTACATGATCTAAAAAGCTCAGATACTTTAAATTAAGTCATATAACAAAACTTGGCCCAACCTTATTTATATCTATAAACAAAACCGTTTCAAAGTATTCTTTAAATGTAAGCAAAGTTGTCAGTTTTTACAGGGAAGCGAATCGAACAAACAACTAGTAGAAATCTCATAGACTGACATAATAATTTTGGGAGAAAATAGCAAGCAATTGCGGCATCTACATACGTTCTCTCTTGTATAGAATTCAATTGTATAGCTTTATTGTTGCTCTGCGTTGTAAATTCTTTGTCAAGAGCTGTACCACGGAGCAACCTTTTTCGCTAGTCTCTTAAATATCAACAGCATTGCTAGCAATAGTGGAGAATACAATAAGTTTCAAGACGTTACAACTGTGCAACGATTTAGCCACTACAACAAATACAACAATAACATTAACACAATTGTGGTTAAAAAGTTACGAGCGTACAAAAGACAAGCAAAGCAGCGGAAGTGGTCAAATGAGACAGCAAGAAATTTTGTATGACAAATGCAGTTGCAAGTACATATATCACAATTTTGTCACTTGTGACCGCAACGCGACAGAGCCGCCCGTTGGCGACTCATTACTTTGACCACCAAAATTATTTTGTTTCGCAACAATGACAGTAATGAAGCAACACTATCTTCAACAGTTTTTGTGCTGTGTATGTGAGAAATAATTGGTGCCTACTTTGGCTGTCTTTTAAGTCATTGCTTGTCAGTGGTTAGAATCTAGCTTACTGAGAGTTCTTTGTGTGCTCGTAAATGAGCTGTAAATTGTCGATATAAGCAGTCGAGACCTTTATGACTTTGCTGTTGTAACTAAAAAAAGTTTGTAACGCTTTGAAAATAAAAAGAAATTATAGTAAGATAGCAAAGTCTAGTCAGTGAGCACTGAAATATGACGTTTGGTTAGTATTTCTTAAACACATGTGGCCCAAATTTCTTAGAAAGTTTTAGTTTTTTTCAAAGAACTAAGCAAATACGAGGATTGGTATTTATATTTGTGATTTTGGGCCTTACAGCTTCTACAAGATTTATGGGTTAATCTCAAAGTGACGAGCAAGCGCTATCTCTTGTGGGAGTTAAAAACTCCTTGTATACGAAAATTTTTCTCGTAGTCTCTCTTCGCTCAGCGATCAATTCCCATAAGATCACATAAAATCAATAAAGGACCATTATTACATATAAAGTGGGCTTCAGACAGTACATTTTTTCTGTAAGTAATCCAAGAGAAGCAAAAAGAAGACAGATTCACTCAATAATTAAGTTAGGCCAAAAAATTTCTTCATTACGACTACAGTTCCTCTTGAAGCAAGAAAAGTTCAGCTTTTCCATTTACTATGGATCCAGGCACGGAAATATTAAACAGATCTATTTGACTATAGAAAAAAGATTAGTCAAGGCAAATATGCGTACTTTTTGTACCATAATTGAAGCACAGAGACCCAAGCTTCTCAAAAAAAAAAAATTTAAATATTTGAGAAATCAAATTTTCGATCTGCTTTAAGTTCCAAACTTACCGTTCAAAAACTCGAAATAAATTTTTCAAAAATACAAAATTAGAAATTTTTATAATATTTAAAATGTTTATATTTTTTTATTAAAAGTAAGGCAAGATATAGGGTTTACCAAGAAGAACGACATAATGTTAAAATGAAATAAAACTCTCAAATCTGACCAAATGTGTTCTTTATATTTTTAACTTCCCGCTAAGAAAATTGAAAATTTTCTAAAAATCGGGAAGATATTGGTTTCACCCCATTTTGCAAAAATCGAGTTTTCAACAGATCTCGACGTTTTGAGGGTCGAGGAAGTTTCCCCGAACATTTCTACGATGATGTCCGTATGTCTGTATGTATGTGTGGATGTATGTGACCCTCTTATAACTTTTAAACGGCTCAACCGATTTGAATAAACTAAACGGCATTCCAAAGGGTTTCATTGCACTTGAATTTCGTGTGAGTTTGGACCCAATCGGACCAGTAGACTTTGAGAAATCTCAAAAATAAAAATTTTGAAAAATCATTTCTTCCAAACGACTTGACCGATCGACACCAAAAACTAATCAGTTCTAAACCTTGAAGAAACACATCGTTTGCCGCAAACCGGGTCAAAATCGGTTTAATTTTGAAGAGCTCAAAAGCAGTGAAAAAAGCGAAATTTGAACGTTAGCGTATGAAATTAGAGGAAAGTTGCAGGGATGGCCCTTGAGGCCAACCGTTTTCCACATTTTTTTGTTATGCAGACAGTTTAATGCCATTCATAATATAGGTACTTGTAGTAATTATAATCTTAAGCAATTTTCAAGCCTTGTACCAAGGTGAAATGTAACATGATGAAATGGCAAGCCGTATTGAGACACTAAAAAAATTTGACACAAATCCGTAAACAAACATGGCCGCCACTAGCTGTCAAAATCACGTCATCCCTATTGGTAGACGCTGTACATGCATATGTCAATTATTTACAAAAAATACCAGCATTTTATTTTACATGTTTATTTTTTGTTGTGGATATAAGCTAGTAAGTGCCTTACTATGTCAACTCGCTTTAAGAATAAAGCCCATTAAATTTTTTTTAATATTTATAGAGTTTTAACGCACGATTTTTCTTGAAAGCAAAAGCCAGTTAACCCGCCGAAGCATTCTAAGTAATCCCCACATGCGCACAAAAGAAATCCTTTAAAAATATCATTAAATAAATCTATATAACGCTTAATTGAGTGTGTTACACACACACGCGCTGAGTACAATAAAGTAGACCACAAAAAGTTGCAACAAAAAAAGCGCAGCGACAACTCAATAAGTTGAAATTAATACCAACAACATTGCCTTGCACTCGAAAGCAGCAACGAAAGGACAATAGGACGAAAAAAGTATAAAAAGCAACAACAACTACAATGCACGCTAACACACTTGCAACAAGGCGGCTTTGGCTTGCAGTGCCTGCTGCACATGTGTGCGGTTACTGTTTAATTGCGTTTGTCCAGCGCTTCCGTTTGTCTGTCCCTCGGTCTGCCTATGCACCGCTCTCATGTGTTGCCGTGTGTGAAGCGACCTGCAATTAACCCATGAATGTGCGACTGTAATGCAATTAAAGGAGCTGGAGGCACACACACGCACACATACATTCATACATACGCAGCTATATGTGTGTGAAAGGGGCATGCGTGTCACATAGGTCGCCGCTATCGCATTTTCACGCTCAATTATTATTAAATATTTTAAGTTTCGCATTTACATAATGAGCACGATTTCACGCGTCGCGCAAATGCCGACGGTGCCTACATACGCAAGCTGCGCTGTGGTGTTGTATGTGTGCGTGGCATCGTAAAGCACGCTTAATTGGCGCAGTGCAGCAGCACCAGCTCGCCCGTGTGCTCGTCCCTAATGGGATTGCAATTATTTGTCGATAAAATGGAATTATATCGCATTTTTGCAATATTTGCCGTTTACACTTAATATGCTCACACTCACCTCTGTTTATTTTATTTAATTTTGTTCTTTTTTGTTGCATTTAATTTTTTCTTTGCTTTGGTTTAATGAGCAGCGATAAAGGCATACATTTAATTTTTTAATTATTCGGCATTAAAAATGTATTAATAATGTTTGCTTTAATGATTGTGCATTTTTTTCCCGTTATTTATTTGATTATGTGTTAATGACTAAATTTGAATGCGGTATACGGCAGGCGATTTAATGCCCAATGAGAAATTTTTGCTTCTCAAGAAAAATATATTTTTTTTTTCATTTACAAATAATGATTTAAAATAGTAAGAAATGAAGTACCGTGTAGGAAATTCTGTAGCTTAGATATAAGTCGTCGTCTAATTAATTTTATTTGAGTGTACGACTAGTCCCACCATTTCTGAGATATCGATCTGAAACTTTTCACACGTTCTTTTTTCTGTAAGAAGCTGCTCATATGTTGGCACCACCAATATCGGAATAACATAGCATATAGCTACCATACAAACTGAACAATCAAAATAAAGTTTTTCTATGAAGAACTCTTTTACTTGATTAGATATCTTCATGAAATTTGATATGAAATATTTTCGAAGGCAACGCTACAATCTGTGAACAAATTGTACAAATCGGAACACTATAGCAAATACCTGCCACACAAACTGAGCGAACTGAATCAAGTTCTTTATTGGAAAACTTTTTTATGTGATAAATATGATTACGAAATATGACATGAAATATTGTCCAAGGCAACGCTACAATCTTCGAACAAATCGCTCAGATCATCATATAGCTGATACACAAACTGAACCATCGAAATCAAGTTCCTGTATGGAAACTTTTTTTAGTTGATAAGGGTATTATCATATATTCAATTTAAATGAAGTTAGCGTTTTTCCTCGTTTTAACTACATATTAAAATATTATTTAAAGTTACAGCTCTCTTTTTCTACAATCATAAATATTTCCTACTACTTAAGCACTTCATAGTAGACACTTTTATTACTTCAAATTACGCATTCGTAACTACTCAAATGATAAATTATTCTTCTCTCTTCAACTCACACCTGCTACTTCAGAAAAACTTCACTCACTCTCTCTCTCTCTATAACAAGCACACATACGATTACTTTAAGTATGCCACCAACCTTTGTAAAATACTAAGTATGAGCACTAAGCACAAGCTTGTCTGATGATTTCACTTTTTGCACGCTTCCTCGAGGGGAAAATAAATTTAAATAAAATAGCTAAGGCAGATAATGAGATGCTTGAGCAAGCGGCGAGGCAGAAAAAAACCGTTAGCAATTGGCGAAGAAATGCACAAAAATTTATTTGTTCT